CAGGAGCAGGAGGGTGCGTGAGCTGGGTGTCATCAGGCACAGGAGCCAGGGGTGAGTCGGGCGCAGGCGCCGGAGGGTAGGTGAGCTGGTCAGCATCAGGCACAGGAGCCTGGGGCGAGCTGGAGTCAGGCTCAGGAGGAGGTGGCTGTGTGCACTGCTCCAGGGCAAGGACTACAGCTTCTTCTGGGGGCTGCGGTACAGCGTTAAGGGCACTTCCTGTTCCTAGCACTTCCACCTCTAAGCTCAAATGTGACTCATCAAGTAAAGGGTTTTGTTGTGCTGCGTGAACGACGTTTGCTTCCATTTCCTTTCCCTGGAAAACAAAACTTCTCGTTGGGGGCTTTTGGTGCCTCTGGTCTTTCTCCAGGGAATTCAGGGGAGCAAGAGCCACGTCTGGTGCTTGGGATGACTCCAGGTGCATTGTAGCTGGAGCTGCAGGAGTAGATTCTACTTCATCATCTGTGTCCTTGGGCAGGCTCTGCCTTGGAGGGGGACTTCTGAAAGCCTTGGAGATGGAAGGTTGGTCACTAGACTCTTCATTAAGGCCCTTCTCAGGTGTAAGCAGACCATGGGGAGTCTGGACACCCACTGTGCTGGCGGTCACTGAGGCTCCTTCACTAGAAGCTGCCTCCTGCAGGTAAGAAGTCTGGCTGGATGTGTCCTGTACAGAGACTGGTGCTTTGTCCAGGTCAGTACATCCCACAGGGCTCACTTGGGATCTTTCATCAGCATCCTCCTGAGATGGGCCAGTTGCTGATACTGCTGAGTTGAACTCTGATGGCGAGGCTAGAGTGAAATAATGATGACTGGGAAATGCTGGGTTTTCTGCAACAGGATGGGGATCTGCGGGACCAAAAGATCCCAAGTTCCTGGCACCAGAAGAAGGGTCCAGAGTCCCAGAAGAGTCTGGGTTCCCTGCACCAGATGAGGTGACTTCTCTGCATAACGGAGAGATGGCTCCTCCATCATCAAAGCTCTGGACTGTCCTTCCATCTCCGTCACTATGGCCATCCTCACCATTACTGGCTCTGTTATCCTGACAGGTTTTTTCACAATCTTGGCCATTGAAAGAAATGAAGCTGGAAGGGTCAGAAACCCCCATGTCTCCCCAGTGCTCAGAGATGTGGCAAGTGGGGGAGTGCATCATGGAACTCCCACCCACTGGGTTCTGACTTTCGGACGTTATCACAGCAGGTGGCTGAGCTCTTACATTTGCTCCTCCAATGCAGGCCTTCAACACTATGCTGGATAGTTCATCCTCACCAGGATGCTGATCTTTGGAGAATGAATCCTGGGGCAGAGAGGCCAGCCCTGTTCCCTCAGCCGAGGAAGTGCTCTCCCCCTCATCACAGAGGTCCCAGTTTTGCTTGGAGAGAGAAGGTGACGCTGGATTGAGTGCTGGTGGTGGAGCCTCCTGCTCCGCCTCTTCCCTCCCTGGCTCTTGTTCCAGCTCATCCCACCTCTTTTCCTTCTGATCTTCCCTGTCCCATACTGGCTCCTCCTGCACTGGTTTCGCTTCCTTCTCTAGCTTCTCCCATTCTGGCTCCTCCTGTTCCAGCTCTGGCTGCTTCTGTTCTGACTGCTCCTCCTCTTCTGGCTCCTCCCTCCATTCTAGCTGCTCGTGCTGCCACTCCTCCTGCTCTGTGATTTTTGCAGCATTCAGTATGTGGAAGACGCACTCTCTTGGAGATTCAGTGCTGCCTTCTGCTCTTCCATCATCTGCTCCTTTCTCCTCCTTCTGAAGGAGGTTTATAGAACCAGATGGACTTTGCCTAGCAGCCACTTCTGTTTTCTGGTCTGTGGCCAAAGCATTGTTCCCTCTCTCATGGAATGACAGGACCATCTTTCCATCTGCATTTCCTCCTGTCAGCTGTGAATTTCCTTGGCTGTCATCCAATAAGGGGTAGGGTGGGTGATGTGAAGAGGAAGAGTCTGTATCCTCTCCCCCTCCCCGCAAGCCTCCCACTTTTTCATCATTATCTACAGAAGGCATTGGATTCATCCTGCCTACTGCATCCATCCCAGGAGATGGCTCCTCGTCGGTCCTTGCCCGTGCTTCAGTACTTGGTGGGAGCTCTCTGATGGTCCCATTTGCTACATCCAACCCCTGCAAGGGGGGATCTCCAGTAGTGTCATCATGCAAAGTTTCAGTCTTGCAATGAACCTCTGAAACTTCTTTACACACCAGGAAGTGTTTAGTGGCTGGTTCCCTCTGGCTGGGAACAGTGTCTGTCATTGAGGTTTCCTTATGCTGTGCCTGGGGGACAGCAGTATGACATGCCAGGGACTGTTTCTGATCCTGAGGAAATTCAATATGAAGGGCTGGAGCTGGTACCTGTGGGTTTTTGTCATGAGTGGCTATTGCCTGTGGGACTGTGTTGGGAAAGGAAGAATACTGACTGCTTTCAGGATGAGCTAATTTCCCCTGTTCAGAGTTCGAGGCGTGATCCCATCTCTGTTTTTCCAGAGATATCTCTTGTACTGCAGGATCTCTCTCCCACTCTGAGAGTCCTCTCTGGTGCCTTAGATCTCTCTCCCCTTGTTCCAGTCCAGACAGAACAGGGTTAGAGGATCTGCCACACATCTCTGCTGATTCCCCAGCAGAGAGATGCCTCGGAGGATCCTGGGCAATGGAGGTCTGTGCTCCTTCTGCAGAGCCAGGCAGCTCGGTGCTCATCTCTACAGACTCAGTGGTGGCATAATGTCCCCTTTTGGCTGGTGTAGGATCAGGGTTTTCCTCACTAGGGCTGCTGGTTGCTGGGGGAAAGGGGTCTCCCCCATTGGCTTCTTCAGATTCCATCAATGAGACATCCTGTAAATGAGAACACAAATATTTTACATTATAAAATGGCTAGGTTGGAAACTGTGAGCGGATTGACCCAAGGAGCTTTGAGGATAAAAGCGAATGTGTCTGGGAAAAGAAGTGAAACACATACCCAATGAGTGGGAGAGAGTCAGGAAACTGTAATGGTGGGGGTGATGGTAGACGACAAATTAGATTGTTTGTAACGTGATAAAGCAACAAATCAAACGGGTGTAGTATTGGACTGCAGCTTGAGAGGCTGGTCTAAAGGATTGGGTCTAATTCAGCCTCACTTACACCAGAGGAGCCTGCTGACAACAGTAGGGGGAGCAGGTGTGGAAAAACAAGGAAGATTCTAATCTACTGCCTTTACCTGTCTGGGCCATGTCCTGTCCCTGTCCACCCTGAAATGGTTCCCTATTCCCAGCCTCAGCAGTTTCCCATACTCCTGCTGGCCCTGGAATGTTTTCTCTAATATTCCAGCCTCTCCTCTAATTAAAGCAATGGAAGATAGACCTGCTTTTAAACTGCTGCATGCATCATGTGTTGGGTACCATACTATCATGCCAAAGCCACAGTACAATCCCCTCTGCAATGCCCAACCATCTCAGCCTTTTCAGGTCCATCGCTGAACAAATCTGTAACAACCTCCTTCCCCAGCTTCAGAGGGTCCTGTGGCACCTTTAAGACTAACAGAAAGGTGCCACAGGACCCTCTGTTGCTTTTTACAGATTCAGACTAACACGGCTACCCCTCTGATACTTCCCCAGCTTGTCTTTCAGCTGTCAAACCCTCCAGACAGCCAATGAGCAGTCCTGCCATTCTTGGCTACAGCAATCATCCCATATCCCTTCAAGTAAAAAACCTATTTCACCTCTGTGCCCAATCCTGTCTCCGGAGCCATCAGATAACACCTCCCAGTGAAAAAAATTCACCATAGCAGCCCTTCTAGCAGCAAGGAGCTGGGATTTCTTCCTCTCCCCGACCCCAAATCAGATAGTCAAATGTATGACCTTTCCCTCCCTGCATATTGCCAAACCCTTCTGAATCAAAGGTCAGGAAACTAAATTCACAATGCCATTGCAAGGAAAGAAGGGTGCACAGGAACGTTCAGGGCTGGGCCCTCTCTACGTAAAAAGAGAGAGATCAGAGGGACTGGGGATGTGCATGGAGAGTGAGAATCATGTTAGAAGTCTGTACCGAGGCTATAGCTGGAATTATTGGGGTGCATGAGTGTATATGGAAAGGGAAGTCTCTCATAACAGAATCAGGTTATTTCATGGGGGCAGGGGTGGCAGCAGGGTCAAAGAAAATCTGTATTCCCATACAGGAATGGAAGATAGTAAGGGCTTTTCTACACTCTCAAGGGGAAGTGGGTTTGTTAAAAGAGGCGTGACGAGACAGTGGCTAAACATGGTGGTACCCAGATAGTACCTGGAACAAAGGTGTTTAAATCCCTCACAGCTGTATTATAATATAGCACAGAATACTTATGGGAAGAGGTCCCCTCCCCAGCACTGACACATTGGTTCCCTGCATGTGATTCGGGGGGGGGGGGGGGGGGAGGATGACTTGTGCACTCTCTCTGCCTGTGGGTTTAGTGGATCAGAGATCCTGGCTGTCTGGATCAATCTCTCCTGCTCGGCATCTTGGGGGTGAATGTTCTTTAGTTGATGTCAACAACATGACTGGCTTCAGGGGTGGCCTCTCTGGCAAAAATGCAGTCCTAATCCTCATAGTAGTTGTAGACCATGCAAGTTCTCCCTAAGGTCTTGTTATTGTTCTTCACATTTCTATAACCCTACAGGAACTCCTTTCCTTTGTTAACTGAGCCCTAGGCAGGGATGGCTAAGGGGCCATAGCCCTCCCATTTTTGAAAGTGGATGGGCCTGGCACATCCACTTTTCACCACAGGCCTGCCCCTCTTCTTACCCCTGAGGCCCTGCCACCTGGAGCCTGGTCCAGGTAAGAGCGGCCAGGGGAGCCCAAGAATAGCCACCAGCCCAGGTTCATGCCCAGGGCAGATGGAGGGTCTGCGGCTCTCCACAGCTGCCCGGGTGGCTCTTACCATGGCCCGGCTGCAGCTTTTCAGACCCCAAGGCCCCAGGCCAGAAGCCGGAGCAAGAGCCATGTGAGCAGCTGTGGGGAGCTGCAGACCCTCCACCTGGCTGGGGAACCTCAGGAGCGGGGATATGGGCCAGGGGTTGCTCCCAGGGGCCCAGGCAGGTGGAAGGGCCCAGGCTCCCTGATGAGACTCCATCTTCTGGCTTGCCCAGGGGGTGAGGCCTCATTTCCCCCCACATGCTTTAAGGAAAATTCTGTCACCCCTGGTCCCAGGAGCACCCCCCTCTCCTTAATTTGTTCTGATAGCCACTTGTAGATCTGGGCATTCTGCTGACTTGGGCCTGGACACACTCCTCTCCACAGAGGGCAAGGAAGTCCAGGACCTCAGCACAGGACCATGCAGAAGCATAGATCATGGATGGAGACCCACATCTCTCTCCTTCCTGATCAGGATCTTTCCAGGCTGCACAGTTTTATGCTGTTATTCAAACTGCCAGAATACTCTGAAGTCTACACTTTCCTTTCTCCTTGACGACTATGAACAACACAATTGCCAGCAGTTACATGTTACCACACGGCCCTTTATAAGCAAGCACATTTATTCTTAAGGTGAAAGCATTACACAGAAAACATAAAAAATAATAGACGTTCTTATGCATATGCTACAAGCTTACCTGAGGTCATCAATCAATCTTAGGTGGTCTCAGCTGGCCAAAGTCCTCCTGACCTTTCCCAGGAAGGATTGGAGCCACCTTGGACAGGAGGTCCCAACCCTTTACTGGATCAGAAAGAAGGCCTGAGTCACTTTAAACTCAGGATATTTATCCAAAAGTCCTTTCTTTATCTGTCAGTCTCTGCAGAATCTAGTTTGAACCAGTACCCAAGCTTCTCCAGATGCTGGCACTTCCCTGGAGGTGGTACAACCTGACAGAATTTGCCTAATCACACCCTGCCATTCCCCCCCCCCCCCACACACACACACAAATAGTTTGTGTCTCTCTTGTCTTAGTTCCTGGAGGAGTTGTGGGTCACCCTCCCCCATGGAATTACATACAACCCCTGGCTCCCAATTATACATACATTTAAATAAATAAGGTCTCCCAAGGATATGGTAGGAAACCACCATATCTGTCACAGCTTCCACTCCTACTTTAATTGTGGGAAAATTCATCCCGAGTGTCAGTGAACTTGCTTCTAAAGTGGGTTTACTAATGCTGGGCCAGATGGCAGATGATTAAAAACAAATTTATGTGTGGATGCAAGGCAATTTAACCCCAAGAAACCCAAGTTAACCTGCAACAAGTTTCAAGTATAGACGAGCCCTTAAACAAAACAGAAACAGGGCACTCTGGAATAAGAGTGCCCCACGTGCAGTTAATCAGGAATGACTCCAGGTGTAGACAAGCCCTAAGATTCTCACTCTCCTTAAATTAAAAGAGCTCTAACTTTCTCCGCCCTCTTTACCTTGATTCAACAGGCTTCCAGATTCTTTCCCCCAAAATACATACACACATTAGCAAGGTGTATAGCACACATGGTGCTATCTGTCTGTGCCAGTTCCCCAGGACCTGGCAGCTGCGCTGAGGCAGAGTGGAGTTTGCACACGCACACACCCATGCTGTTGAAACACACCACCTGGCAGGGAAAGCCTTGCTCCACCCTTAAAATGTCTCTGTGTCAGAGCTGAGCTAACACAGACTGCTGGTTGAGATGGCTGGTCTTTGCCCTTCCTTTGCGGTGGGGCAGCAACCTAAGAGATGAAAATCTCCCTCCTAGTAGGAGCTTTTGAGCCTACCTCGCTCTTCATTTGCTCTCCGGTCCCTCCCCCTTCTCAAGCCAAGCCCAGTTCCAGGAGTTCATTAGCTCAGGGTGTGGTCTTGTGTTTACTGCTTCACATTCCATTCTCTGCTTCCAGCGCTTCTCAGACACCTAACACCACCCCCGAGTCCTGAGGAGCGTGGGGGAGAGACAGACACAAACCTTCACAGCTCACCAGGGTCAGTGGCTCTCCTACAGCAGATCTGCTAGTTTTAAATGTCCCACTAAGAGCTGTGCACACCTTTTATAATGAAACACAAAGGAAAGACAACAAGGAGTCTGGTGGCACCTCAAAGACTAACAGATTTATTTGGGCATAAGCTTTCGTGGGTAAAAACCTCACTTCTTCAGATGCACCAGACTCCTTATTGTTTTTGTAGATACAGACTAACACGGCTACCCCCTGATACAAAGGAAAGAAAAGCTTGTCTGCTTTTGGTAAGAAAATGAACCTCTGAGCCAGTCACATGTACCTTTTGCTAAGGGCTGAACACTTCTAAAAGAGTCAGGCTGGGCCATGCTGGCTCCGGGTCTGCCTTTCTACCTCTACA